TGTGGTCCCTTCCAACATTACTCTGTGATTCTGAGATTGTGATTCTATTTAAAAGGGATTGTGATTCTATTTAAAATGGTTCTCAAAGGTGATTTGCATTCTAGCTGGGTGCAGCCTCGGGGGAACAGGTACCACAATATTTTGACACCAAAAAGTGTGTGTGGCAGCTGATGTTACTGCTGATGCTTCCAGGAGATAACACTGAAAATTGTGGGAGTCTTAGTGAAGACACTTGCCAGGGAGAACATGAGGCCAGTGCTCAGGTGGGCTTCAGGTGAGCATCTGCTCTGATGGACACATTAAATCAAGACCTGTTAGGATTACAAAGTAAGGTGAGTAAAGCTGAAGTATTTACACTTAGGTATGAAAAACCACCGAGGCTGCTCTGAGTTTTGCTGCATCCTGAAAGACAAGAAGAAAGGAGCTGATGCAAAGGGAAAAAAAAAAAAAGGAAAAAAAAAGTCTCTTTAAATGCCTATCCTTCTGTGGAAATGATGGGGTGATAGCTTGCTCTTACTACTGAGCTTTCTCTAAAAATAAACTGGGATGTTACTTGAGCTCTTCCAAAATGTAACATGCAGAAAGTACAAGAAGAGTTAGGACAGAGCAGGGAAGGAGAGAGAGAGAGAAAGGTCAGCAGACCAGCTGCATTTGGCTCCTCAAACTACTTGGTAATACTTCTTAGAGCAAAAGCTCTGGTTCATCTGACAGGGGACCCACAAGCATCCCTGAAGAGCAATAGATTGACCTTTCTGACAAGGAGGGTTCTCAGAACTTGAACAAAGTTGTGAATGGGAATAACCAGCTGAAGGATGAGGAATGAAATCAGTGTTGTTACCAAGCACACCTAAACAAAAATTTCTCTCAATTTTTCCAGCTTCCTCAACTTCCCTCTGAGAGGAGACCTCTTTGCAGCCTATAGCTTCCTCATAAGGGGTAGTGAAGGGGCAGACCCTGATCTCTGCTCTTGTGGTGACCAGTGACAGACCCAAGGGAACAGCTGGAGCTGCGTTAGGGTAGGTTTAGGTTGGATCTCAGGAAAAGGTTCTTCCCCCAGAGGGTGGTTGGGCACTGAACAGGTTCCCCAGGGTAGTGGGCACAGCACCAAGCCTGACAGAGTTCAAGAAGCATTTGGACACCACTCTCAGGCCCATGGTGTGATTCTTCGGGTGTCCTGTGCAGGGCCAGGAGATGGACTTACATGATCCTTGTGGGTCCCTTCCAGCTCAGGATATGCCATGATTCTATGATTCTAAGTTCAACTTCTCTGCTTCTCTGAGAAGCTTTTTATTTCAGTTTCTTTGGATTTGCTTCTTACCCACAACAAAGATCTTCCTGGAGCACGCCGATGGTTACTGTTTAACCTCCCAAGTTTAGGTATTAAGGCTTGGCCTAACGCTGCAGCGATTTGCAACAGGAATGCCTAAACCGCGGACGTGATTCTCCTTAATGAGCAGCAGCACCATCAGAGCAAAAGATGGGTGGGACATGCCATCCAAGGGAAAGGCGGAGGCGGTGGGATGGGAATGGGAAGGTGCAGAGCTCAGGGGTGACCGCGCGGTGGCGGCACCGCCGCGCCCACGGCCCGGAGCTCCCGTGGGAGCTCCCCGGGCATTCCAGGCCGGGAAAGGAACAGCACAATCCCTCTGTAGGATTTATGTATTTCTTCAACACCAGCAGGCACGGATTACGCACGGGGACAAGTGGGAGAGGACAAAGCTGAGGCAGTTCGGCCTGGGTTTCTGCTGGGCTGGTGTACTTGTGAGAGCAAGAAGCAAGATCGGATCCCAAATGACAAGTGGGCTGCATTCCTTGATGATTTCACTTTTGTGTTCCTAATTGCCAGCTGTTGTTGCATGGAGACCAGACCAGTGTTATGTAATACCTTCATTAATAACACAGACGAAATGCACCCTCAGCAATTTTGCAGCTGAGTGGTTGACACACATGAAGGATTGGAACCATCCACAGGGACCTGGGCAAGCTCCAAGAGTGGCCCATGAGAAATCTCATGAGGTTTAACAAGATCAAGTGTTGGTGCTGCACCTGGGTCAGGATACCAACCACCCTGGTATCAACCCAGGCTGGGGATGAACAGCTGGAGAGCAGCCCTGGGGAGAAGGACTTGGGGGTGCTGGTGGGTGAAAGGCTGGACCCAGAACCCCCCTGTGCCCTGGGATGCACCGAAAGCAGTGTGGGCAGCAGGTGGGGGGAGGATTCTGCCCCTCTGCCCTGCTCTGGGGAGAACCCCCTGCAGTGCTGCCTCCAGCTCTGGGGGCCCAGCACAGCAAGGACATGGAGCTGTTGGAGCGAGTCCAGAGGAGGGACACCAAGGTGATCAGAGGGATGGAGCAGCTCTGCTGTGAGGAAAGGCTGCGAGAGTTGGGATTGTTCAGCCTGGAGAAGAGAAGCTTTGGGAGGACCTAATAGTGGCCTTCCAATACCTGAAGGGAGCCCACAAGAAAGATGGAGAGGGACTTTTTCCAAGGGCCTGGAGTGACAGGACAAGGGCAAATGGCTTCAAATTGACAGAGAGCAGGTTTAGATTGGATATTAGGAAGAAATTCTTCCCTGAGAGGGTGATGAGGCCCTGGCACGGGTTGCCCAGAGAAGCTGTGGCTGCCCCATCCCTGGAAGTGTTGAAGGCCAGGTTGGATGGGGCTCTGAGCAACCTGGTCTAGTGGAAGGTGTCCCTGCCAATGCCACAGATGTAGGAAACAGATGATTTTTCAGGTCCCTTCCAACCCAAACCATTCTATGCTTCTATGATTCTGTCACAACTCACTCTGGATTTAGGATGTTGTCTGATGTTCATGATATGAGATCTATATGATGATGAATTTACTAGACAGTCAACATTACTGAAGTTTAAAATTTCTATTGGGAAAAAAGATTCTCATTCAAAAATGCTTAATTTCCGGCTTCACAAAAGGTTTTCCTTTCCAAGATGACTTCCTCAAAATACTGCTCCTCATCTGGTGAGCTTCTGTGCTCATGGTAGCAGTTGTGCTTTATAAACATTTTGTTTCAATGGGTCAATTTAAAAAAATAGCCTCGTAAACACAGACTGACACGATGTGCTGCTGCAGATCAGAGAAATTTCGGAGGAGGAAGAAATGAAAAATAAGAATGTTAATGCTGTGCAATTTCAGGCAGTCTCTTTAAAACTTTGCCTGAATGGCTATCACTTCTGCAAATGGACCTGTATCAAAACATGTACTTATAAAAATATAGATGCTGACAGTGTTGGCTCATGTTTGATTCTTGTCCTTCTAAAACATGCTCAAGACAGCTGGGGTCTCCTCATCACAGTAAAACACAGTGATACAACAGAAACAGGCCAGAGCTGAGTCATTTGGCACTGGTTCATTTACAGAGGAGAGACATGTCACTGGTCTCACCCCTTGAAAATGTCAGCTCTGAAATCTGTGGAGCAAAAGCACTGCAGAAATATGAGGTTAATTCCACGCTGCCAAAGAAGATAAAACAGGAATGAAACAGACCTGCTGTTGCATTAAAGATTTAATTTTGCAGCTGGTTTAAACTATCAAATGAAACAAATTATGTTTTTGGCATCATTTAGGATGTGTTTGGTGTTAAAGCTCAAACCAGTTGCAAAGTTAGGTCAGATCTCTGTGCAAACCAGAAGAATTTCTGATTTTTAGATAGCATTTATTCCATCCGGTTGTGAAATCCAAAAGGAAACACACTCAGCTATCTGACCAACTAACATTTTGGTTAATCACATTTTCTGTAATCCATAAAAATTCAGCTTTCTGAGGGTCAGAGGATGATTTCCAGTCACTTCTTGTGTTACTTTGTCCATTTCACCAGCAGTAATTTCTAGGTTGCCCAGAGAAGCTGTGGATGCCACATCCCTGGAAGTGTTCAAGGTCAGGTTGGACAGGGTTGGGGTCAACCTGGTCTAGTGGAAGGTGACCCTGCCCATGGCAGGGGTGTTGGAACAGGATGGTCTTTAAGGTCCCTTCCAACCCAAACCATTCTGTGATTCTGCAGCACAGGGCCAGCATGGTCCCAGCTGGCTGTGGATGCCCACACCACATACACTTTGTACCTTGTGCACCGCTGGTCTGACACTGCTCTTTTGAACCAGCTTTCCTTTGCTGATGGTTACTCTGGGGTGTGATTTGGCTCCCAAGACTTTTAACTGCCTTGTTAGTAATGCCATTTGCATTTATCATATGAATTTCATCTATCCTAAAAATATCAATGTATTGATACTACTCTGAGCAAAGCCCTGTTCCCGATTAAGTGTTCTTGACCGAGTCGATGTAACCAGGCTGAACATCACCAAGTATTATGTGCTCTGCAACATGACAAACTTACTGAATTCTCTGGTGCTGGAGCCGAGGAACTTGTTCAGTGCAGGCAGCTCCGGGTGCAGCTGCAGGAGGACCGAAGGCGGTGTAACAGTGTCACCGCCAGAGTGGCTCCTGGACCCAGAGTGTCACCGCCAGAGCGGCTCCTGGACGGTCGGGCAGGGAAGTTTCCTTAACACCAGAATCGTGAAATCACGTGAAAACCGGGGTTTTAAGGCGAAAACCACCTGCTTACAACTGCAAAGTGACAATCGGAGCATCATTTAGGGTGGAGGCGACTTCTGAGTCCGGCTGCGAACCTAACACCGCTGAGCCCTGCTCGCAACGTGCCGCAGCCACAGGGCTTTTAAATCTATTTTAAACACCACCAGGGACGGCGCGCGGACTGTTTAAATGCTTGGAAACCCTCTCCACGAGGAATTTTTTTTTTTCCTGACGTCCCACCTGAACTTCCCCTTCAGGCCGTGTCCTCTCGTCCCGTCGCTGGTTCCCTGGGAGCAGAGCCCGTCCCGCACATGGCTACCCGCTACTGTCAGGGAGACGCCTGGAGCGATGAGAGAGATCTTCCCGGAGCGTCCTTTTTTCCCGGGAGCCACCTCCTTTTCCCGCCTGACGTCACCGCGTGACGCGGGGCGGGCCCGTGACGTCACCGCGGCGCGCGCGCGCGGCGCCGCAGTGCGGGCAGGGAGAGCTGCGCTCACCTGGGATCCCGCCTGAGATCCCGCCTGGAATCCCGCCGGAGATTCCCTCCTGAGCCCGGCTCCGAGCTCAGCTGAGCCAACCTTACCATGGTTCGCTTCGGGCTGACCGTGGTGCGGCAGTGAGTACGGACAGCCCAGCCCCGGGTCTGTGGGCGCTCGGAGCAGCTCCCGCTGCCTGCGATGGGCAGGAGTGAACCCTTTAGTTTTTATGGAAGCTGAACCCTGGGTTTCTCCGTTAGAGTAAGAACTGCGTGGCCAGCAGGGCGGGGGGGAATTTTGCCCCGCTCTGGGGAGACCCCCCCTGCAGTGCTACCTCCAGCTCTGGGGGCCCAGCACAGCAAGGACATGGAGCTGTTGGAGCGAGTCCAGAGGAGGGACACCAGGGTGATCAGAGGGATGGAGCAGCTCTGCTGTGAGGAAAGGCTGAGAGAGTTGGGATTATCCAGCCTGAGGTGATTTAATTGTGGCCTTCCAGGACCCGAAGGGACCCCACAAGGTAGATGGGGAGAGACTATTTCCAAGGACCTGGAGTGACAGGAGAAGGGGCAATGGCTTCAAACTGACAGAGAGGAGGTTTAGATTGGATATTAGGGAGAAATTCTTCCTTGTGAGGATGGTGAGGCCCTGGCACAGGTTGTCCAGAGAAGCTGTGACTGCCCCATCCCTGGAAGTGTTCCAGGCCAGGTTGGACAGGGCTCTGAGCAACCTGGGCTAGTGGAAGGTGTCCCTGCCCATGGCAGGGGCTTGGAACTGGATGATCTTTAAGATCCCTTCCAACCCAAACGCTTCCATGCTTCTGTGATTTAACGCTTAATCAGCACAACTGATTTTCCTTTCTCATTTTCCTCCTGTTAAGAGAAACTCTTCCCTTAAAGACCTGGATCTTGCTGACGTGGTGCTGTGACCACAGTTAATTTTTACATCAACTAGAAAACATGAGCCTGGATCAATTTGTTGAACTTGAAAAGTTCATGTGAGTTTCTTGCAGGCACTTTAGAAAGATGCCAGATCATTCACCAAGGGGATGGGAGCTCATTTTAAAAGTACTGACCTTCTGTGAACAGTTATGTGTTTGAGGCTCATCTTGAGGTCCAGTTGGCCAACACGTGCCTTTCATAACAGGGCTCCAGAATCTTCCAGCAACTTTGTCCTCTCCAGCATGGAGGTGTAGTTGTTATAGACAAATTATGCTGCATTGTTGATAAATCTAAGTAGTTACTTCATTTCCTTTTATTCCAGGTGGGTTTGTCTTAAAAATATTGATAGCATGATTGGGGCTGACTAGTTGAAAATGGATTTTTGTTGTTGTAAAGCCTTTAGGTGCATCCTTTTGCAAAGAATCTGTGCTGTATTCTGTTTTTCACATTCAGGTTCTGCTGTCTCTTGGTGTCCAGTATAAGAACATTTTTGAAAATTCAGTAAACCGATTATGAGTTAATTTTTTTTGTTGTTGTTTATAATCTCTTTCAGTGGAGAAACAAGATACAACAAAGACAAGATACTACAAGGTTAGTATCAGTTATTCTACTGGAAAATTGTGGTGGAACCCTGTAACCAACTGCTCAGCTGTTAAGTATTATTACAGAATAACATTGCAAAAAGATTGTTTAAATGCTTGAATTGTTCAATCTTAGCTCCTTCTAGGAAGGCAGTCTTTATTAGATACATTTAAAACTAGACTTCACCTTAGTGGCTGCTGACTTGGACACCCAGAACTGAAAACACACACTGGGCTGCTTGGATGTCTGTTGTAGGAAAATCAAGGCATCACTACAAGGAACCTGCTGGGGTTGCACTCTGAATAAATGAACTTTATACAATGCTACATGTTGTGAGGAAAAGCTCATACTTCTAGATTTTCTTACCTCTGTTTTCTACCTCTGTGACATTGCTGTTTACAGATCTGGCAACAGGGCTTTGTGCTCATAGTAAAATGAATAAAGAATATTTCCCTGCCTTACTTTCTTGAAAGTACCAATGATGTATTTTAAATTCCAAGCTCTCTGGGTCAAGTGATGTGCAGTGGGTTTCTCTTCCCTCTCCAGCATAGCAAGTGAAGGTAGCCTTATGTCTTTGAGAGGTCTGAGGCCTATACCAGCATGGTTTTAAGTTTAAATTTTTCAGAGGTATAGATTAATATAAATATCATTAATAGTTATCCTTCTGTGTTCCTATCCTGTACTCCTTTGTTTTGTTAAAATTGTGTGACTGAGTTTAGGGAAGACCAGAAGAGCAGTAACTTTTCCCAATACTTGGCTTTACTGAAGGAGAAGGATTTTATTATGACTGAGGAGACTCTTTATTGTCATACTTGCTCAGCTGCTCGATGATCTAAAATTTACATGTCTTAATGTTGATGGGTTTTTATTTTACAGGTCAAGGAGTGGATGAGCCACTCTCTGCAACTGGTTTCAGACAAGCAGATGCTGCTGGTGTATTTCTCAGTAATGTGAAGTTTACTCATGTCTTTTCAAGTGACCTCCTTCGAGCAAAGCAGGTGAGTGCTTCTTGAGGCAACAATTAGCTGCAAAATTCAGCATTTATTTGTGATTGATGATGCAAAAGTAATGCAGGAAGAGCCAAAAGCTGTTTTGCTGGACCCACCACTGCAGTTTGAATTGTGTAGAACTGCAGGAAGCCTCTGTGGGTAGGGAAATTTTGTTGAGAACAGTTCAATTGGGAATCACTAAAGGCCAGCTCGTTTTGCAGGATTTCATGCACTGTTGTGCCTGTGGATTTGTGGAAGAAATTCTGAGGAATCCAGACCAATATAGGCAAGATCAAGTTTTGCTGTGAAGTCAGAGCAAGGATCATTAGATGTGCAGAGAGGTTGGATTTTGCCAGGAACGTCACACCTCTCACCTTGATGCATTATATGTTAAATAAAGAGGAAAAAAATGTAAATTACTGAGTGGGATTACGTGTGATTTTGTGTGCAAGATTACGAAATACTCAAAATTAGGGAATCAGAAGTTTTAAAGTCAGAGGTCAGTTTTTCTAGGACATATCTTCTGTGGAAGGCAGTGATTATATTTTAAATCAGTAGTACTTTCTGACTTCCATAAAACTGTCTGGACTATGTGCCTACCTTAGGGGATTTGAGTTTGGATTATTTTCCTTGTATTAGAGGCAGCCTTTTCTGTGGAAAGCATTTGTACTCTCACAATGTAGAAGACAGACCTGAATTTTTCCTTTGCCTAAAGGACACGTGTTTTGCCATTTGTTTGACAAGCTATCCAGACTTGGTGAAAGCTTTTCCAGAGATGTATAAAGGTGCAGTTTCCATGTGGTTGGAATTCCCTTTCTTGGCAGCTGCAAATCTCTGAAGTGTCATGTTACTAAGCTGTCGCTTCATAGCTCAATTATGAGAGGAATGTACAAATTCTGTTGAAAAAGAGGAAATTCCAGTATATAATCATACAATTACAATGCTATTCATATGTACAAGGAAGTGGACTCAAACCTATCTGAATTTTGACGTTATTCTGTGACAGAAATTTAAAGTTACAAGATAAAGCTTTTCCTATGCAATATGTTAAATCAATCATAAAACCTTGTCAGTACAACAAGGCTACTTCTTCTTTGCCAGAATCCAAGGAGCCTTTTCCAAGTGAGTTATTTGAACTTCAGTTTGGGTGTGGATGTTTGCACAACACTACCAGTCCAAAGTTCCTGTGAGTCCAGTACAGCCTTCACACTTTGGTGCATGTAGGAACTGGAGCAGGTTGGCCATCCTTTAGTTCCCAGTTTAAGAAAGGCAGGGAGCTGTCAGAGGGGATCCAGTGGAGGCCACAGAGATGATCAGGGGTCTGGAGTATCTCCCTGCAGGAGCTGGGCCTCATTAGTCTGGAGAAGAGAAGACAGAGAGGGGATCTCATTAGTGCACATAAATATCTCCAAGAGAGGAGCCAGGAGGATGGTGCTGGGCTCTTTTCAGTGGTGCCCAGTGACAGGACGAGGAGCAATGGCCACAAACTAAAACACAAGTTCCACCTCAATGTGACAAAGAATTTCTTTCCATTGAGCACTGGAACAGGCTGCCCAGGGAGGTTGTGGAGTCTCCCTCTCTGGAGACATTCCAAACCCACCTGGACACATTCCTGTGTCACCTGCTCCAGGTGACCCTGCCTTGGCAGGAGAATTGGGCTGGATGATCTCCAGAGGTCCCTTCCAGCCCTGATGATTCTGGGATTGGCTGTGGCAGCCAGGCAGGTGTCAGACAAATGTTTTTTGCAGTTGGATTAACTGAACAGTTTTTAGGACCCGAGTGTCCCACGTAGCACATGTGAAGAATGTGTGGACACGATGGATTTGTGAGCAGTGTTACGCTCAAGATGGGGCTTTTATCCCAGTAAATCCTGCTGCCCACTTTTCATAGGTGCTAAGTGTTTCAACTCTTCTGGACTTTGAATTGTGAAGGGAAGTCCAGAAGCTTTTCCCAGTCTAGGCCATACGTCCAATTCTCACAAAATTCAGCTGGAAAACTTTTTATTTTGTTGGTTTGGGTTGTTGGATGCTACTAATGTGATTCACCTTGGCTGTTGTGGTGTAACATGGTCTCTGTTCTGTCCCATTGATGTGACTGTATATTCACTTTTTAGACTGCTACTGCCATTCTAGGAAAGAATAAGTTTTGCAGAGATTTGGAAATCAAGTATGATGCAAGACTGCGAGAGAGAGTAAGTGCCAGAAGAATTTGTTTTATATCAAATACTGAAGAATTTGAAAATGTAGCTTACTGCTGATTGATATCTTGCCTTATTAAATCGTAGATTTAACAGTGGAGAGCATTATTTGCTGTGTTCCTTATCACTGAAAACTGAACTCTTCACGTCAGGGACAATGAATTGTTTGCAGAATTGTGAAGCAAAGCCAAAATTTAGTGATAAACATTGTAACTCTGATGCTTTAATGATTTAAATAAGGTAATATTTATTGTTTAGGGAGCAGCACATGACTGTAGCATTTCCTGTTTGAATCTTTTTTTCTCTCAGAAATTCCAGCTCTTCCCCTGAGACCAGCAAGTTAAATGCCTCCCAAACTTCTTTAGTTGCTTTACCACCTGACATTTTAGAAAAATATTATGGCTCATGATACCAGATTTTAGAAAGAATAATCTCTATTACACTGTTTTATATGGTGTTTTTATGGATGTATGGAAATGCCAGTACAGTGTCTGCAGGTCACTGGTTGTGAGTCACTACTAGGATAACAGGTATTAAGTGAATTGCACAAAAAGAAGCAAAGTACTTTAAGAGAACACGTGTCGTTGACCCTCTTAAGAAAGTTTTATTCTCTCATGCCTTGCTTTCATGATTTTTCTGGAAAAATCTTCAGGATTAGGATTTCATTTCCAGCAGCTTCAGAGCACTGATTTCTTCATATCTTTCTTAGTGTTCTTAAACTGCTGCTATTCTGCTTTGGAGAGACGAATTGTATTTCAGTATATTTAAATTCTGAAGACTGTAGTAACTTATATATTATATTCCATGATAATTATGTTAGTGGCAATGAAGGATTAATCTGCAGAGATTTATCCTCTGCTGTGGAGATTTCAGAAATCCGTAGAGAAAACATTTGTTTCTTACTCGTGAAAAATAATTCCCCTTGGTGTTTGTGCAAATGAAAAGTAAATGGAGTTTATCCTCATGTGAACAGCTGTGCACAAAAGTGTTTGCAGTGTAACCTCAGTTACAAAGACACTTGAATTTTGTTAGCTGGGAGTGTCATTGGAGGAAACAATCTCAAGCTAAAGATCAGGCTGAAGGTCATGTTTTGAATGTCAGTGCTTCAAATGAGATGCTGCTCTTAATATATTTGTCTATCCAGCATATATATATATATATATACACACACACACACACATCTATAAAAATATATATTTTATATATATATATAAAAATACATAGTTTTAGAAAAATTTTAAATAGCAAATATAAAGATACTTCCTCCTCCCAAAATTGGAATAAAATATGAAAGGTGGTTAAACTTTCATGTTACATTGGAGAATTCAAGAAAATGAAGCTGTTTGCACTGGAAGGGGAACAGGAGACTTGACACATCTTGACAACCCCTCTTTTTGTACCTTATCCCTCACAGAAATATGGTATTGCAGAAGGAAGGCCCTTGGCTGACCTCAAAGCTATGGCAAAGGATGCTGGAGAGCAATGTCCTTCATTCACCCCCTCTGGAGGAGAAACACTGGATGAAGTATGGTATTTATTTATTTATTTGTGCCTTCCTTTTCTAGGCTGTTTTATCAGTGCGATTGCAGCTTGTGCTGCTTAGGAACTCACTGAGAGCTCAGCCCAACCAGAGGTAGTTACTTTCTAAGCTAAAAACGCTGCTTGGCCTTATAACAGTGGCTGCTAAGTAGGAAATCTCTTTATAACTGAAATATTGTTTTTGAGATTGACTCCTCATGAAAGAGGAGGATTTGCAGGAGGATGGTGGCAATTACTCTCAACCTCGGCTTTCAAGGGGAGTTTGTACAACATCCAGTAATTTGACACTGACTCCTGAGCCTTGTCTGTGATAAATATTTGTCTTTTAACTGAAGGAGTTGTAGCTCAGATTTCTGAAAGTCAGAACCTCTTGCTTTGTTCACAAGGATCTCTTTATTTCTTCATGATCTCTTCATTCTTCCCAATGGTCTCTTTGTTCTTCCCAATGCTCCCTCCTGGTCTTTCTCTTCAGGTGAGAGAACGTGCAAGGGATTTTTTTGAATTCCTGTGCCAGCTAGCTGTTGGGTTGGAACAGAAAGAACCTGGTGCATCCAGCAGAAGCTCAGGAACACCTAAAGAACAGTTTGTTTTCCCTTGGACAAACCACTGCAGTGAAGGAGAACCGAGTTCTGAGGGCAGTGGATCCTCCAAAATATTAGATGCCAATATACTGGTGGTGAGTCATGGAGCATACATGAGAAATTGGATTGGTTATTTTGTTTCAGATCTCAACTGTACTTTGCCAGCAAATTTAACCAAGTCCCAGTTGTCTTCTGTCAGTCCCAATACAGGAGTCAGTCATTTCATTGTAAAACTTGAAAATGGGAACCTGTCAAAACCTGAAATCACGTGTGTTTGTCTTAACCAAGACTCTCACTTAGTGGATGTGGGAGCTGAATGTGTAGCTTCAAAAGTGTTTTAGCAGCCCCTGCAGGGAGGAGGTGGATTTAGATCATCATTTTGCTAAGCATGGGAAAAGTACCTGTAGTAATTACTGAGATGGACTGGAGTTACTGACACTAAACTGCAAGTGCTTACCATCCTAAAAAACCTCAAACTGCATGGTCCTAGTGCCCAGCATAAGTTTTCAGTAGCAAAATAAAACAAATATTCTTTCTGAACAGAAACATAACACTTCAGTCACTTACATATCTGCTCTTATAGCACATAATTTGAAAAACTCTTGCTTTACTCTATAATTATTTTTATGACCTCCATGTAAAAGAGTTGGGGAGGGGAGAGGAATGGTACCTCAAAGATGAGCTATACTGTATTGTTGTTTTATTACAAAATGCTATATTGTAATATCAAACATACATGTTGTCTTAAAATAAATTTTTGAATGCAATAGTATAACCTAAAAAAGGAGCATTGCCTAGTGGGAAAGGTTTGTTGCAGAGTCAGGGGATGTGGCTCTGGCACTAAACAGCTGGGAGACTCTGGGAAAATCTCCTTCCCATTTGTAAAGTGGAAATTCTGATATACCTACCTCGCCAGGAGTATTTCCTGAGAAATTGTTCAGGTTGTTGTCATCTCTGTTGAAGAGCACTGTACACAAACATAAAATATTTATTTTTAAGCTGCAAGCAGGAAGAGGAACCTTATGTGCACATAGTTGGAATAATGGTCTCTCTTCTAAAAAGGATCTTTATCAATAGGGGGAGTCGTACCCAACTAAAATCCTTCTGTCAGTTCAGTCATACACTTGATTCTGTGAATATTTTTGCCTAGAATTAGGCAAATTTGATTGCTTGGCAATTTTTGATGTTAATACTGCATTCTTTCCTCTCTGGGATGTTTGTAGTGTTACTGTGTAAGCTTATCTGGTTTCTGTTATTTATAATATCCATGTATTTTTTCTTCGTTTGCATATTTTAAGCCTGTTCAAAAAAAAAAACCACAAAACAATTAAAGGTTCCTGAATAGAACTTCCATTTCATCTGTATTTCTTGTGAGGGAAAAATCTTTCTTGATGTTACTCTATGAATGAGTATGAGAAATGAACAATTACTCTACAAAGCTTTGTTCAGATCACACAACTTCCTTTTTTTTTTTTTTTTTTTTCTGCAAAACCCCAGACCGGACTTTTACTGTGAAAAAGACTTCCAGGGCTGATGGTTCAGTGCTGTCCTGCCTCTTAAACTGGAAGCACTGATGTAAAAATGTTAAGGACATGCCTAAAATTGCTTGCGACTGTACAAAATTAACTGTTTGACTCAAGTTTTAATGTTTTATAATTTTTAAAAATAGTTCTCTGGGCTGTTTGTTCAACACTAACACTGCTGATACGTAGGGGATGGAGTGGGAAGTGTTCAGTCCTGTGGTGACTGGAGGTAGGATTTTAGGGTTGTGTTCTCCAGAACCTGGAAATGAACATTAGGCTTTTTACCTGATTTTTACATGTTTTTTGCCAAGCAGGGCTTGTTTATCCAGCAAATAACCATTAAACCCTCTGCTGCTGTATCTGGAAATTAGTCCATAGAGAGGAAAGTATATTTTTGACAGATGGTGTGGCTGCCCCATCCCTGCAAGTGTTGAAGGCCGGGTTGGATGGGGCTCTCAGCAACCCGGGGTAGTGGAAGGTGTCCCTGCCCATGGCAGGGGGTTGGAATGAGATGATGTTTGAGGTCCCTTCCGACCCAAACCATTCCATGATTCTAAAGTGGCTTATCTGATCTGTAAAAAAATGGATATTTGTTATTCTGGTGTCAGCAAGGTTGGTCTTTCAACTTCAAACACATATAATTTGAAGGACTGGGTGCCCTTAAGCTGGGTTGGAAAAATCCTTGGTAGCCAACCATTATTGACCACATCATTGACCCAAACAGTAAGTTTGTACTTGTGAAATTAAAAAGGACCTGTTTAAAATCAGAAGTACAGAGATAACAGTGGCAGCTTGAGGAGCTACTCAAGACTCGTTTAAAAGTGTCCATAGCACTTTTTCCCAACTAAAAGAATTCCTTCTCAATGTACTGAAGGAAATAAGTTGTGTTCTCAGGAAGGAAAAAAGGGAATGTGGGGCTTTTGCACAGGCTCCTTCAGCTCCTTCCTAGAGGCATCTTCCTACAGGGCTCCTGAATACTAAATGATGGTCACAGCCAAGGAAGATAGAACAGTTCTAAGCATGACTTAATGGCAGAGGGTGGGACAGGAGTTCATTCTTACTTTGCTTGTCCCTGGCAGTGCCTGTTTATTTCAGGAAAGGCAGTTACATAGCAGGAGGCTCTCCTGTCAGTGCTTTAAATAGCTTGAACTCTTCTGGAATTGCCATGTCCTGAATTTTGTCAGTCATTCCATTGATACTTCTTGGAGCCAGAGTAACTGAGCTGAAAATGTGCCTCCTTCATCAGCTGAAAGATGACTGGAGATATAACACGTTTTTTCTCCCTAAGTCTGTAACTTTTGTCAAATATTTCAAAACACTAGTGATTTATGTACTTCTCAGTTTAAAAGACTTCTTTTTCTCTCTTTCTTGCCTACTCTCAAGCAGGTAATTAACATTTTATTCTTGCTGATGATGTAAATAACTTAGGAGAACATCTACATTTTTAATTAATGCTTTGCCACTGCTTGGGTGATACTCTTCCCAGAGAGATTTTTGACTCTTCCTCTATAATACACTTTGCCTTCTTTAATGTGTTTCTAGGTGGTTAAAATTTAGACCCATGCTAAGAAATGGGATCATGTCTATGGGATTGTTTTCTTGAAGTTATTGTTACCAAATCCTTTCTACTTTTGGTAACTCTTACACAGGGCAAGCAGATGGTAGGATGAAAAATATCACAGGGTGAAACCATTCAAGTTTTCTAAACAGCTCCTGTATTAATGAAGTAACATTTATTTTTCAGTGAAAAACTTATGGGTCAGAATCTCCCAATTCAGACTTTGTAAAAGACACTAAAATGGTGCAAACACATCTACCAGTTGCCAAGGGAGTACAAGTAATCAAGTGTGTTCTGCAGTTGCCCTGTTGTATTTTTTTCCTTATTTATCTGCACTTGGCATCTAGACTAGCCTGGATGATCTTATAGCCTGCCCTAATATAGTTATTTCACCTTTGTTTTGTCAGATGTAAGGTTCTCTATGCATTAAAAAGTCACTAATTCTGGAAGCTTCTAAAGTTAATTCTAACCCCTGTTTTCTTTAGGTCTGTGTATAGTGCTGCTCTTTTCAAATCTTTAAATTGACGCTGAGACTAAATCTTTCTTCTTGCTTTTTTTAATCAAGTGCTCTTGTGCATTTGTGCAGTAAATCCATACAGTTTATTGGGATCATGGGAAAGGAGAGTTGCAATGATAGATGCTTCTGTTAGGAATAGCAACAGAACATAAATATTTGAGGGATTACTCAGTAGTGGGCAATGGATGTTTTGTCCCTGTGATGTGTCAGTCTCTAATTAGCAGCAGAAGGCAAGGCCTTAACTACAGGGTGGATTTTCAGCAGTAGCTGCCAAGATGTGAGAGAGGCGGAGAAAGCAGATCAAGCTGTTAAACACACTACCAGGATCAGGAGAATTTTGGGTGATAAGAAAATGTTACATTCCTTTTGAACACCTTTCTAGGAAGGTGGTGCTGAAATAAATGTTAGAAACTTCTCAACTTGCCTGTCTGACTGTAGTCAGCTCTGGCAGAACTGATGTGTGCTTGAAAATTGGGTTTGAAACTGGTGAAAGCTAAAATAAAAGCTGTCTTGGCAGGCTTTTTCATCTGAACATCAGGAGAGAAAAAAAAGGTGGCTGTGGAGATCACCAAAAACAAGAGGAAACTCAGCTCCTTTCTAAGCTGATGTTTTCTTTTGCTGAAGAGCCCAGTTGTATTCTGCTTCCAAAACAATAGCGTTTCAAAAGGTAGGGGAGTTGTGACCTCCTTTGATGGAGTTGTTCATGTTTAGCCGGTGCTTTATCAGACCAGGCTTAATTTGGAAAAGGTGACAGGAGAGAAAAAGAGCAGTTCAAAGCTCATGGCAGCTCATGTTCCTTAGTGTTGCTCCACCACCATCATCTCACAGGTCTAACCTCCAGCAGCCATCAAGGGAGTGCTTTGGCAGAGAGCTCTGGTAGTATCACAGTTTCCTTCCTCTAAAATAAAGATATTTTCTTCATTCCCACAGTTCTCTGTTAGGGACTGTTTTCCAGACATAGCCCTGTCTTTGCAATAGGAGGAGTTTGGGACGTTTTTTTTTTTTCTTTTTTCCTTCAGAACAGAATTTAGATCAGATGCATTCTCTATCTAAGCTTTTGGCTGCCTCAGATCCACAGCCCACATGCCTGGACCTAAAATATGTCAGATTTCCCCCAGATGTGTCCCTCTTTTGAGGACTTTGGCCATGAGCCTGAGGTTTTTGGATATATAGTGATGCCAAGGCAGCTTCATGGGCACAGTGTGTGAGCTGCTTTTCCGACATCCATGGATACGGAGGATCTGTGCATGCAGGGTAAACCCAGTGCTATTCAGGAAGGTCTCCTGAGCTGAGATAGCTCTGCTGTCACTTGCAAACAGCTCTTGGATTCCTGGCATGCAGGGACCCTGTGGGACTATGGATGCCTCACCTGAATGCCAGAAGCTCCTGAGAGCACAGTCAGAAGATATGGCACAGGAAGATACTGGCATAAAACCCACAAATCATGAGTAGGGTGTTACCAGTCACCACAGGAATGCACTTGAGGTCCAGGCAGAACCCCTTTGGATGTAATTCTTTCCTTGTGGTGCCCAGTTGGCTGATCCATCCATAGCTGAACAGAAGAGGGATGATGCAACAGACTTGACTGTAATAAATCCTGAATATATTTTGGAATATATCTTAAAAAGTTAATTTACTTAAACTTAAAGTTGATAAAAAAAGATGGTTTGATTTCAGAAGGACAAGAATCATAAAATTGGTTTAGTGATGTCAGGTATACTGAAGAATCACAAAAGTTTCATAACCATAGAATAGCAGAATGTCCTCAGTGGGAAGGGACCCACAAGGATCACTGAGTCCAACTCCTGGCCCTGCACAGGACACCCCAAGAATCACACCATGTGCCTGAGGGTGTTGTCCAAACACTCCTTGAGCTCTGTCAGCCTTGGTGCTGTGCCCACTGCCCTGGGGAGCCTGTTCAGTGCCCAACCACCCTCTGGAGGAAGAATCTTTTCCTAATATCCAACCTAAACCTCCCCTGACACAGCTCCAGCCGTTCCCTTGGGTCTGTCACTGGTCACCATAGAGCAGAGATCAGTGCTTCCCCTCCTCTTCCCTTTTAAAGCCAAGATTTCAAGAATTTAGTATGCTCGTGTCAGATGAAATCACTAATCTTTATCCCAGAATAAAGCACATCTGAAATGACACATCTGTAAGCAAGTATTTTAAACAGATCTGTCCAACTGGATGTGGAACCATATAACTAGGGAATGGGAAATAAAGTAATTTTTATTTGAGAAGAGAGGACAAAACAATCTTACAGGACTGTCAGTTTGACCTTAATAACACTCAAGGCTGAATAAATTCTGAAGGAGAATGCAATTGCAGACAAGAAGGGTAAATGAAACCTGGAATATAATTGAGTTTTTACCATAAGTAGTTCAGACTTAAGTGAGTGGTTCTTTGATGAAGTAACTGATGTATAGGCAAGGGAAAAATTATGGTGAATTTTAATTCAAGATTTGACACAATGCCACAAGCTTAACTGGAAAAGGTAAATGTTATTTAGGAGATAAAAGAAGGTGAAGTAGGTATGCAAGCAGTTATTGGGCACAGGAGTAAGTAGTAATGTCCAAGGTGAAGCACTGAGCTTGAGTAAAATCAGTATTTAAGTTCCTCATGGGGTTATTTTTTTGTAATGACTTTTAATAAAATTTAGGAATGTGGAAATGTTCATGAGAAAGCATCATCAATAAGTGTGTGGGGCAGAATAACATGTAGAGGAGGAAACGGTGAATTTGAAGAGTGAAATCAAAGACATATCTTGAAATTACCTGTTGCCAGCTCAGGCTCTTTGATCCCAATGACAAGAATTCCCCCTATGAGCTGGAAGAAAATTTTTGAAACAACAAAAGAAGGGGATAACTTGGGGTAACATTGACCTCCTTCCTAAGCTTGTTGCTTACCCTGAACGCTGACAGACAGGAGTGAAGTTCACTTTTGGGCACACAAATGGTACAAGCCCTGTATCTCATTTAAATGCTCAGAGTAGGGCTGAAGAAGGGCAGACCTACTTAATAAAGCACCAAAAAAGTCATAGAAATGGAAGTTAAATTTAGTAAATTTGCCAGTCTTGCTACTTCTTGAGTCTTCTCTGAATCACAGACTGGGTCAGGTTGGAAGGGACCACAGAGGGTCGTCTGGTCCCACCTTCCTGCTCCAACAGGGTCATCCCGATGCACATGTCACAGGATTGCATCCAGATGGTTCTGGAATATCTCCAGTGAGGGAGACTCCACACCCTCTCTGGGCAATCTGTTCGGTGCTCGGTCACTGCACAGCAAAGAAGTTCTTCCTCATGATGTTCAGGTGGAGCTTCCTGGGCATCAGTTCCTGCCCGTGACCTCTTGTGCCATTGCTGGGCACCCCCGAGCAGAGCCTGGTCCATCCTCTGCCCTCTGCCTTCATATACTTTTAATTTACCAATTATCTTTTACCCTGAGATCTTGGAGCCAGGTTCACAAATATTTCCTAGTGGGACTGAACTGCCAGACCAGTGGTTTTCCACTGCTTTTGCATTGCAGAATTCCCAGTAGACAATCTCTCATGGTCAGTCTAGACCTACTAAGACGTTGTTTTTCTCATCATCTTTCACAAAACTTTTATACTTGTGGTCACTGAAACACCCAGGAAGCTGCAACCTGTGAGGCTGGAACTCGTGGGATAGGGGGACACAAAAATTTTCGGACATATCTGCTACTCAAGTCCTTCTGGAATGGGGGATTTACACAGACAATGCAGAATCCACCATTTGGAGAAAATGAAAAGTTTATTGGTGCTTTTATTAAAGGAAATAATCTCTATTATACATTATTATAAATATTTATAAATATTCTGTGGGATTTAAGACCCACACAAATAAATAAATAAATATTGCAACATAAATAATAATGCTTTCTTACCAGCTGGTGATTGCCAGCATTTCCACTGAAGAATTAATTCTTTTGATATTTTGATACAGTTGTCTATAGCTACAAATACATTTTTTTAATGCTAAATCCACTGTGTATTCAGTCTTAGCTTAGGCACTAAATCCTCTGGCTACTAAGAGAGTGAGCAACCTGCTTATTTTGTTCTAATGTATGAATATAAAGATGGTGTAGAGATTAAACCCCACATTTCTCATCAAAGTTTGATATGGACAGAGATTCAAATTGTTGTAAGTCCATTGTCTTGGAGTCCCAGAGAGCCTGTGGAGCTTCCAACAATTTATGGAAAAGGCAAACTTTGCTGTTGTACTTGAAGTCCAGAGTTTTCAAGGAGCAAAAGCCAAGAACAGAAATCAAGTAAAGTTATTAAATAAAATCACACCTCTGCACTGTACAACAGACAGCAGGGTAAAAAGTCTTGCTGCATTTTGAATAAGCAAGAAAAACCACAACTCTCCACCCACCTGCAACTCTCCTGAATTCCTTAGAATCACTCATTTCATTCAGAAATTAATCAAAACCATGATGAGACAGAACTCTTGGTCTAGTCTTTATCATTTGGCTTGTCCTGTGCTCCCTAGAATTTACATGAATTAGGAATCACTCTAGATAGGAAAACTATTCTAAGAGTAGTATCAGGACCTGTGACTTTTCTAACGTGAGTTGAATGTTATAGATAAAGAGATATCATGTATTTATACATATATAGGGAGGGAAAAAGAGATTATTTAAATGCTGTCAGCAGGACAGCATTCTGTGCTAAATCCAGAAAAATTCCAATGAACACAGGAAACATGGAGGGCCTTATTTTGATTTTGTTGCACTGATGTAACTCCAGTGAATTGATTTCTGAGAGTTGCATCACAAATAACTTTCAAAGTAAATTTATCCATAACATAAATCAATCTAGGGAAAAAGTTCTGTAAATGAGAGATCTCTTGATTAATGGTAATTTCACTCTTACAAATATAAAGCATCTAATATCTGCTCAGAACTGAATAGAAACATTGATGCTAATTAGGTGCTCTTTTCTAAATACATACCTAATTTTCACTCATTAGATGAGAGTCTTCATTATAGTGAAACTATTAACAGTTTGACACTTACGAGGCATAAATTTTTGGATTCTTTTTCCCCCTGTGTAGTTCAGCAGTATGCAAAACAAACCATCTTGACACACACTATTGATTATTAATAATCCTAGTACTTCTCTCTGGGTTGGAAAGATGCAAAACTAATGGTGTTTACATTATTTTTCCACATCGTGATGCCAGAATTCAGTGAATGTAGAACTGTGACAGAGAAGCACTTGACAGACAGTGAGACTCTTTTTTTCCCAAACCTCAGCTTTGATTCAGAAAGTGTCCAGAATTGCTCTGTTTACACAAGACCATTTAATCCTGTCCTGTCCTTCAGTCACTTACTAGTTTTCTGCATGTGGTGCTCTTATAAGAGCAGAGAGGTCATTTTTTGACTCCTAGGGGCATGAAAACATACTGAAGCTCCAACTTAAAAGCTAAAAACATAGAATGGTTGGGTTGGAGAGGACCTTAAAGATCATCTCGTTCCAACTCCCCGCCATGGGCAGGGACACCTTCCCAGGTTGCTCAGAGCCCCATCCAACCTGGCCTTCAACAATTCCAGGGATGGGGCAGCCACAGCTTTTCTGGGCAACCTGTGCCAGGGCCTCCCCACCCTCCCAGGGAAGAATTTCTTCCTAATATCCAATCTAAACCTCCTCTCTGTCAGTTTGAAGCCATTGCCTCTTGTCCTGTCACTGCAGTTCCTGATGAAGAATTTACTCAGAAGGAAAATCCTTCTCTGGCTTCCTTGTAGGCCCCTTCAGATAATGTATATATTACATATATAGTAGTTTTTATATAATAATATAACACACTGCCAGAGAGTTTGTCTGCTGTGTTTGAACACTCAGGGACAGTGCAATAAGAGGATTTCCTGCCTCTGTTGGAATGTCAGATGTTCCAGGTCTCTTCCCAGTTACATCAGCAACATAATATCAGTTTCTCAGTTCATTCACGGGATTTCTTTTTTCTTCATTGATGGAAACTTAAGGTGATTAGGATCCTAAAAGGTTTGATTTCTATTATTCTTTTAAAAAATATATCTTTTCAGTCCACAGAGCTCTGGCTGGAAAAGTTCAACTTGCTTTGTCAGTAATGTGTCATCTCTAAGTACAAAAATTTGAAATATAAGGAACTTTTCCCGGTGTTTCCCATTGGACATTCAGACTGAGAGTGTGTCAGACAGTTCCCTTTGCCTCTGTCCTCACTTTGCAGGTTCCGGGGTCACAGTTATCTGGTGATGTAGAACCGGGGGCTCGGATACCTCCGAGCGTCCATCATGGCATGGGGGTCATCGGGGTTCACCACGTCGTTCTGGTTGATCCTCACGGGTTCCCTGGGCACGTGGGAGAAGTCTGCTTCCTGTTGCAGGGGAGAGCCAAGCCCAGAGATCTTCCTCTGCGGGACCAGGACCTGATGAGGATCCATCGGATCTGTGTCTGCACTCCTGGTGTTCCTGTGGGGCTTGGGGGTGTTGAAGCGGAACAACGGGATTTCGTTTCTCCTGGATAAAAACTGGGAGTATGGTGGCGGGTTTGTGCCAGGGAGAAAAGCTTGCTTAACTCTGCCTAAGCTCACCAGGAAGTTGTGTTTGGGAGATTGATACACGTCGTATCCGTTCTCCAGTGTCCTGTGGTTGAACACACAGTCCTCTTGGCTGAAGTAATGCTGAGGGGAAAAAACATGACACCTGTGAGCAGAGGGGTTTGGCACAAATTAAAGAGGGAAAGAGGGATGAGATCTTGCTTTCTGATCTCCCAGGTCTGTAACTGAGACAACTCAGTAGATCTGAGATATATCTCCATGTTTTCAGCAAACGTATTTTAATGATAACATTGTTTTCTTTCAGAGGGTCCCAACCCATGGATCTATGCTATGTCAGGAATTCTGACTGGTCCATCACTGCATCTCATTTTGCCCTCGTTTACCCAAGCAGGATCTCAGATGATTTTAGTCAGCTCTACAACTCAGTACAATCAAAGAGGAAAGGAAAGTATTACCTAAGTGGCACATCCTCTCTTAAATCTGCACCTACACAGGTTTTCCCCTCCTGGGCAGCACAGCAGCAAGCTGCACCTGCCCTTCAGCCTTGAGGCTTAGCAGAGGTCACTCACCGAGCCAAATATGTTT